ATGTGGGCTTATTTTTTCTGGTTGATGTTGTAGGGGTTTGCTACCCTAGAACCTAGTTTATGCTATTTTACCACTCTCTTTTTTACCAAAAAAGGAAAACAAAAAGGAATTCCCTTTTTCTTTTTCTTTTTTTAGTAGTAATTTTTAATAAAAGGCATTACTTTGGAAAACCCAAATCAGAATCCAAAAACAATGTTTAGAATGCAAGATCTTTAATATATTGGGTCTAAATTAGTTAAGAGTCATTTGAAAAGAAAATGTATAGATAAAAATACAAATTTTATTATCATTTTAAGAAAAATATATATCAATATTGCTCCTAAAAAGTTAAAGTACTAATATTAGATTATATTGTTTTATTTAATTAAAATTTAAGAAATTATTTTATTAAATATTAATATTTAAATTTAAAAATTGAATGAATTTTTAAATTTTGAATTAAGATTTTAATTTCAAAATATATATCGAAACTTTAATTTTTTTAAGAGTTAGTACTTATACACACTAATTTCTTATTATTTTATATAAATATATAAATTTTGTTAGTTTTTTAATAATATAATAAATTTTTAATTTTTTAATTTAAGAATTGATTAAATGATTAGAAAAGACCACACACATCAACATTATCATTCAATTAATTTTTAAATAAAAAAATATAAACATAACACTTTAAATAAAAAAAAATTATTACCGTATTTAAAAATCAACAAAATTTATATTTTTGAATAAAAAATAATAAAATTCATATTTTCATTTACAGATATTATCCTTATTTGAACTATATTTAAAAGGAATTTTCTATGCAGATTCTAATTTTTGCAGTGCGATTTTGCTGCAAATAGTCTTAATGGCAACAGCTACCCCAGAATATTTATGGACAAAATAATTTGCAATTCCTCCTATATTATTAGTTAGGCCAAAAAACGAAATATTCATATTATAAAAGGAAAAAAATCCAGAAGCAATAGTTAATTATCTGTGTTTTCAATTACCGCATGACGTGTGTACAAAGATTCGTGAACTTCCTCCAATGGCTACCACCCAGGGCACACTGTTTCGTCATTTTATTCTGTCACCAATTTTATTTTATTTTTTTGTTTTTCATTTTTCATTTTTTTTGGTCCCATCAACTCATTTTCACATCATTGCCTAGGAGTAGGAGTAGCCCATTAAACTTTATACATATTTCCTTTGTTGTCTATAAATACAATACCCCAAAGCACTCCCAGTCCATTTCCCTTTGCTGCAAAGTTTCAAAAACTCCGTTTTTCCAGTTGTTTATTATTTTTATATATCAACCCACATCTCCACATCTCTGCTTGGCAAAGCCATGTCCCTAAGGAAAAACATTGCTTTGGCTGTTGCATTTTTGGTGCTTGGAATCCAAGCATGCTTGTCGGAAATCAACAGAACCAGCTTTCCTCAAGGTTTTGTGTTCGGAACCGCCTCCTCCGCTTTCCAGGTCCGTCGCTTAATATTTTTATCCATTGTCTTATCTTTTTCCTTTTTGGATTGGCTTGTTTGCATGTTCTCTCCAATTTGCGTATATAGCAGCAAAAAAATGTGATGAGAAACCCACTACATTAAGATTTCTCAAGAATCTGGAAATGAATAAAACTGTTTGGATTTGGTGTTTGGAAATTTCCTTTTCTAAATTCTAAGCCAGACATGGATTCATGATTGGGAATGGGGAGAGGAGATGGAAGGGCTTTCTGTTAAGGGGTTTTTTGGTCATTGTGATCTGTTTGGGCTAGCGTGGAAAGGGCATGAGTTGGACATAACCCCATGAGCTTCGTCGAGAAGAAGGGATATTTGACGGGGTTAACCGTTATTCCTTTCGTCATTGGTTAATTTTATACTATTCGATTTTATGAGTATACCACTGTTGTTTTAAAATTTTTTAAGACTAATAACTCCTGTCCTTCGTGCAAGATTCTACTACTATTTGTTTTGGACCATAAAAAAAAAAAAAAAATCTATCGTATTTATTTTTTTTACCCTGAAGTTTGCTTAAAATTTAAAATTAAAGGTCTTAAACCAGAAATTTCAATATGATTTATTTAAAGAAGTTTTGTGTAAACGGGACGGAAGGGGGAGGGGAGGGGAGGGTTCTCTTATCATATGGACCATGGAATACGTACTTATCACCAAATGAAAAGAAATTTATTTTTGAAGAAAATGGCCTTTCAAAAATTATTATTCCTTTTTTGTATTTCTTGTGTTTGGTATTCACAAGAAGGTAAGATAAAAAGAACCACTTTCATTAAAAGAATATTGTTTAAGAAAAAGTTAGAAAAATACCTTCCTTTTCTTATGGTGGAGCTGTATTTTTTTATTCTGTTTGTTTGATATTGGGCCAGGGTTTTGAACTCGAAATTATTTGACACCGTTTTCACTTTTTTATTCCATTTTGTTTATGTGTCATTATATATTCATGTATTTTCCTACCCCTCCAAAATCATACTTAAATTGCATTTGGATTGGTATATGGTGTTATGGCGGTGTCTTTTAGCTTTTGTTATATTGTGTTAAGGAAAATAATTTTTAGATAATTATTTTTTTTAATTTTTTCATATAACTTTACATATTATTTATAAACATAAATTTTAATTTAAAGTGTTCGAAATTTATAAATAGATTGTCCACATGTTATATTACCTTGTGTTAATTATTGCAATCCAAAACGTAACCTCAAGCTCTTAATTGGTGACATCCCTATTATCTAGATTCATTAGTCATGTTGATTAGTATACATATACCTGACTTGGGAAAAAAATGTACCGAAAATTCTGGAGTCATAAAAAACATATAAGTTTACTTTCCTAAGTAAAAAGGATATTTGAAAACATTTTT